ACACTCAGCTTATACCTCTTCATCAGCAGCCCTCCGAGGAAGATCCCTATTGCCACTGCTGGCAGGTTCAGGACACCTGAAGGAAACACAGGGGAATATTGCTTGTTAATTTCATACATCATATCACATATACATACTTTATACCAAGCACATTTTCCTTAATGACTATTAATAATTTGTTTGTTAGATGTTAAATATTTGAGTGCATTTTGATCATTTAAACCTTATCTAAAAGTACACACCGCTTATTCACAGAAGGTGAACGTGTGCCAATGCGTGCCTTCTGTTTACACACAATGAAACATTGACATTTGGTGATGTATTCTAAAACCAAGGACCTTCCTGGAAGTCACTGCAGAATCACACCAATGAGTATTTACTGTAATAACTTTGTTTGATATATATTTAACATTTAAGTGAAGTCTTTTTTTCCTGTTTTCTTGTTGTTCTTGTACAATACTACGGAAAAATCTTGAGCATTTCTTCCGAATTTCTTTGAATTTCCAAAGAGACTTTTTTGTAATTATTTTAGATTGGTCTTGAGCAATCGTTCTCCAGGCTTTCTGAAGGTCTGTCATAGTTTGTTTTGGATAGTGATTGCTTTTTCAGAGAATTGTTTTAGACACCAATCTGTGAATTATTCAAGCATACTGAAGGCACCTAACTTAAGGGATGAATCAGTATTAGGTACAAGCAGCTGGTTGCAAAGTCAAATAATTTGCTCACATTTCTTTAGCTGAATCTATGAAAGATTCAAAAGATGACATAGTTTGACAGACATTTTTGGCACAAACAAAGTGATTCCCAGAGAGCTGTTTGCCAAAAGCCTGGCATGGTGTGTAATGTGTCCTCAAACCATTCATGGAAAGTGGACAAGTGGAGGACGGAAGAAGAAGTGTCAGACCTAATAAAGTTGCTATAGCACCAATCTCCTTCAAAGGTGGGACACCTAGCTCAACAGAAGGAATGTCATCATCACAAACATCAGAACCCGTCAGGATTTTTTGAAATCAACTAATCGTTTTAAAATAGTACTCTTAATTTCCTTTTTCGCACTATTTTTCTTTACTGGAATATCAAAGTGTGCCGCAATACTCAACGAGTCATCTATACAACATAACTCAAACTTCTCAGAATTCGAAGCACAAATGAAATCTTGTAAATCAAAATCCATACTTAAATACAAGGCAGTAACATAGTACCAAATGTCAGAATTGTCTGCAGCTCCGGAAAATAGATCCCGGATGAGCCCCCAATTGTGTTACAACCCGGCTCAAAAGCCGCAACATAAATAAGGAGAAGAATACCCGAATTTCAGTGAGAAGAAGTTTTATCTTAAAATGCATAGCAGGTTGGCTAAAATGGCTGGAACCACCAAGGTAAAAACTAGTGAGCCTCTCTCTGAAAGCCTGCTTCAGGTATGCTTTTATCCACACCTGAGTAGATGTGGTCAATTAGCACCAGCTGAACACACTGAGGAGATTAGGGGCTGCAGAAGGGCATAACACTGTTGCCAGCAAATTAACAGTATCTAAAAGTCATGCTCTGGAGAAATAGGAAAAAATCTAATAAAAAAAAAAAGATCTGACACAGGACATGAGAGATGCATGTCTCAGAGGAATGTTGGCTGTGAAGAAGCCATCCTGAAGGAAGGGAAATGAGAAAAGGCAGAAG